AATTAAGCAGTGTAAGACTAGAGGGACAGCAGCTAGTCATCACCACCCACCGCCAACTCTTGGGCTACTCTTTTACCAACGAATAGTGAGATTGACGTCACATTATAACGCCCCCACGGCTGAAAGGGCGAGCATGTTTGGTGTGACTGGGATTCGAACTCGCACCCCTCAGATTGTGAGTCGAGTGCCGTAACCACCTGGCCATGCCGGGCCAAATCATTTTATTATACATTAAATGGTATAAAAGTTTCCTTCAAGATGTATCTTTTATTTTCATTAACATCAGGCATTTATCAGTGATTAGGGTTACTTCACTCCTAACCTTTCGAAAGTTCTATTTAAAAGAGGTCAAAGTTGCCCAGTAATTAGAACAGGTTGTATGCTTAGGATAATTGTGAATTTTCGTGTTATAACCAACCCATCTTGAGGCAATTCAATTAATAAAAATAAAAATATTTTTTTTATCCACACCTTGTATCGCTAAATAAAACTCGTGACACTGACCTCCGACTCCAAAGGTTCCACACTTCAAAGCAAATACCAATGACAGTTCCATCTGACTGTTTTGGTTCTGCAAGGCTTAAAGAAATTTATTTTTGTTGGTCATTGAAACACAAGGAGAGGCTCAAAATATATAGTAACAATTTTTATATTCAACGACCTTGTCCCAGACCTTCCTTGTGGCCTGTGACTACAGTTAATTAAATTACGAATACTTGTAATTTCAGTTGGCGCCTAAAATTGATTCTTTCTGGAAGGCTTACATCACAGGACTTTCTAACACGAGGTTCTCCTATTCCGCCATTATAAAAGCATGCAAAACACGAAATTTAGCATCTCGAAGAAAATATATCTGCAGTGATGAGGTGTATAGTAAAGTAAGGGGACGTATGACTCCATCGGCGATAAAATAGGATACTCCATGGCCGGCTACCTGTTGCATGTCGGAAGTACTGAAGGATGTTAAAAAACTTTTCAATGGAAGTAATAAAGGAACACAGCAATCCATACAGCTAAAGTAGGGACCTCTCTTGGAATTGCAAATAAAAATTTAGATGTAAAAAACCAACACAAGAGACATGTTTACAATCGTCTTCCAAAGCAAATAGCAGCAGAAAAACTGCCGAAAGTTAAAATTACGCTGCAGAGGAGTATTCCATAACAGAGGTTATCATGTAGAACTTCATCATCATTGGGTGGAAGAACAGAACAGTTGAGATACTAGAATGAATGCCTAGACCTCACACCCTCTATGACCCAAACTTGAAATTTTGTGTGGCTCCTCTCTTTTTTTTTGTTTGTTTGTTCACTTTGCAGTTTCTTAAAGTTTTGTAAAGATTACGTGATCCATCAGTGTGGTGACTACATCCACCCACACAAACATCCCACCTGCACAACCTTCACCCCCAA